ATCGCAGAAGAATATTTTTCAGATTCTATAATTAATTCACAAAATAAGTTAACAACTTGTATGGGTACAAGAAAAACCCAAGGATAAATCAATGTACCAATTTTACAAGAATATAATATTCATAACAACATTGAAATGATAATGTAAAATTTCCATGACTATTTTGATGGAGTTATTGGAATCAAAGCATCATAAAAAAAATAATTTAAATATAGATCATTCTAATATGCTTCTTCCTAATAATAAAACAACACAATTCCGTTTCAATATAGAACCAATTTCGAGAATCAGAATTTCGAGATTCCAAGCAACTCGACTCAAGTATGTTATTACAGCACAAAAATGGCTCCACGGAACCCTAGATGCTGAAGACGGCGCAAGATATGATTCTTATATTCAGACGCTCAATGATAATCAAAAGACTCTCAATGAAGATCTGAAAACACAAGCTTATGTATTAAAACAAGTTACGAAAACATTTCACGATTGATTTCTAACTATTGAATCTAACCAAAAGGTTATCACAGGAAAGATACAAAGTATTTTGGGAATCATGTCATTTAGAAGGTTATAATGTTGTAGATAAATTTTGTCGTAAGGGGTCACCAGGTTACGGGGGAACCATAATTTTTATCAAAGAATCGTTTTTGAAAAAATTTAGTCTAGAACCAGTTAATAAATATAACCACTTGTGTATTCAAAATGAATTTGAATTTTCAATAGCTTTTAATGGGTATGAAAAATTGTATTTTATGTGTATTTATAGACCACCTGTTGCCAATGCTACAAGCTTCTTTGAGAACCTGGAGGCAATTTTACTTGATCTGCCAAAAAACTCTAAGATTGTTCTCACCGGAGATCTGAATATTGATTTCAATAAGGTCGACAACGCGGTCACCCAGATATTAAAGAACTTGATGCATTCGTATGGGCTAAAAATGTTCGTTTCTTCCCCTACTAGAATAACTGCTGGCACGGCTACTTTAATAGATTACTTTTGTACAAATTTTAGCGAAAATAGTGTTAGGTGTCAAATAATTTCAACTGACATGTCTGATCATGAAGCGTTACTGGCATTGGCGTTCCCTTACTTGAAAAAACTAAAAAACTGCCTGAAAAATTTGGACGTATATTCTCCAAAAGAAATTATGCATTATTTACTGATAATTTGAACTGTGTTAACTGGGAAAGTGTCCTACTTTCGGATGAACCCATGGATGTGTTCCACTCGCTTTTGTATAGTACTTTTAATTTGTCTTTTCCAATTCGTAAAATGAGACCTAGAAAACCCAAGAAATCATGGTTAACAAGGGGTATAAGGACATCATCCAAAAAATTGACAGTCCTGCACAAAATTAGTAAGTTTAGTAACAACGAAAACATCATTCAATACTATAAGAAATATAGATGCATCTACAAACAAATCATACAAGCAGCTAAACGTTTATTTTATAGTTCAAGAATTTCTCTTTCAAAAAATAAGGCAAAAGAAACATGGTCAATAATTAACGAGCTAAGAGGTAAAAAGGGCCAGTCCAAACAATTGGCACAAATAGATTCAAATGTTCTGAACGAATTTTACTGCTCAATCGCAAAAAAACTTACTTCTAATTTAAACTCTAAAATTGATCCCTTGTCATATCTATCGGAATTACATGTGGAGGAAACCTTTGTATTTGATTACACAAACTCGGAGGAGCTAAAAAATGTTGTCAATGAAATAAAGAGCAGATCATGTGGACTTGATGAAATGTCCATAAAAAAATTTCAAAACCTTAATGGAAATGTTCTTGGTTGTTTAGCCCAAGCAATCAACCAATGTTTTGATTCAGGAAAATTTCCTGGCATATTGAAAACGGCGGTAGTGATTCCATTGCACAAAACGGGATCATACTCAGAGCCATCAAATTTTAGACCAATTTCACTTTTGCCCACACTATCAAAAATTTTTGAAAAAATTATTAAAAAAAGAATGCTAGAGTTTTTAAGTAGAAAAAACCTGCTGAGTGCTTGTCAATATGGCTTTCAGAGTTCTAAAGGTACGAATGATGCAATTTTTGCCTTCTTAGAAAACATTTATTTTAGGATAAATAACAAAGAATTTGCAGCTGCCGTTTTCATTGACTTTTCAAAGGCATTTGATTGTGTTAATCATGAATTGCTCTTGAATAAGCTGCAAATATACGGATTTAGAGAAAAATCTTTTTTAATTTTTAAATCTTACTTGGACGAAAGATACCAAATGGTTAAAAATGGAGAGTCATCGTCGACTCTAATGCCGGTAGATACTGGGATCCCACAGGGGTCTGTACTTGGGCCAATTCTTTTTTTAATATATCTTGAAGATCTGTTGAAGTTAGTGATTGAAGGTGCTTTTACGACTTTTGCCGATGACAATACAATTACTTGGAGTCATAAGGATTTGCAAGTTTTAAAGCAAATGGTTGCTAATGATTTGGAGAGAATTAAGTTATGGTGCGACTCTAACTTTCTGTGTTTCAATATTGACAAAACTAAGGTCTTAAGTTTTAAGTTCGATTTTGATGACCTTCAATTGGGTCAACAGTCAATATCACAAAGTGAAAATACAAAATTTTTAGGAATTCATATTGACAGCAAACTAAAGTTTACAACTCATATCGAGAACTTGAACAAAAAAGTTGCAATGGACAGTTACGCAGTTAGACTAACCTTCTGGGAATTGGGTACACAAATGGCTAAAACAACGTATTACGCCTTAGTCGAATCGCATTTGCGCTATGGTGTAGCTTTCTGGGGAAATTGTTGCCAGAATTTATTTGAGTCCGTTTTTATTATGCAAAAGCGATGTGTGAGATATCTGTGTGGGGCCGGATTTAGGGACCACTGTAAGCCCCTCTTCAAAAAAGAGAGGATTTTGACATTGTCTGGATGGTTCATATTGGAAACTGTGAGCTTAATTTTTAAAAAATATAAAGATGTCACTCATGCACATTTTTATCAAACCAGAAATCACAATGATATTCCTCTTCCTATTCCTAGTTCCAGCCTTACACAAAACTCCATTATTTATAGAAGTGTAAAAATCTTTAATAAGTTACCACCAGAATTTAAATCTGTCGATAATTTCAAAAAATTTAGAAGAAAAGTAAGGGATTGGTTGACTGATAGGGCATACTACTCTATAAATGAATATCTCTGTGATCATTATTAATTTAAAATTTTACTATCTGCCAAAAAGACACACATTATTGTTCCTTGAGTCTGATTTGCACTTAAAATTTTATTTATTTCTATTTATTTTAAGTTTTATTTATTTTTTGTTTTTTATTTTAAATTCTTTGTGTGTGTAACAACTGTAAACGTTTTTAGGTACGTATTTTAATCAACAACTAAGTGTAATCAGTGTGTATAATTTTAATTGTACTGTATTTTTATTTTTTTAACCTTACCATGCCAAACGATGTTCCTATTTTGTTTTGTTGTTTTCGGTTTCATCTGTATAACTCTATATATCCCTACCTCGTTTAATGTTATGCTATTTTTATTTTGAAAGTTTAGGTTTAGGAATTACTGGCTTTGTCAATGGATTTATTTTTTTACGACAATAAAGCATATTTTGATTTGATTTGATTTGATATTTCCTTGGAAAACCAAAATTTTCATTCAATGTTAACTTTTAATATAATATTGAATAATATCAATATTCAAAGTAATAAAATAAGGAATCTAATTGATCATATGCAATTAGCAATAAATTCTGCATAATTGGGAATAATGCATTAGGTATACTATTTTACAGCATAATAAATTGAATCAAATATTAACAAATATACCCAAAAGTCAACAAATACCTTTTGATAATAAAATCAAGTATTACGAGACAATGAAAACTCAAGTAAAAATCCAAAATGAGTTAATTATATTTTTTATACGCACACCAATGATTAATCCCAAGCCCTTTATATTGTATAAAATGTATCCAATTCCTATCCAAGAACTTACCATTAGGAATGAGTACCCTTACCTATCACTTACCACGGACATTTACTACAATACTTTATCGGAATGCCCAAAAGTTGAAAAATGTGTACCTTTGTAACCAAGATGAGCTCAAGCAAGAAGAATAATGTATCTATGACCTGATTACGGATGGACCACAATAATATCCTTTCACCAAAGTGTAGTATGAGAAACCGACAGTGAGACAACCCCAGAATGGACAACTATTAGTCATCCCTAAGAAAAGTCTAACGATAGTTACTCAATGTGACAAGACAAACCATATGGATATTATTACCAATCCAACACTAGTTTCTTTTGAAAAATGCTTTGTAAAAATACAAAATCAAACATTTTCAAAAACCAGCGAGGGACTTCAATTTTGAACTGAAAATCCCAAAAATACACATCCCTGAACTTCCAGAAAATGAAAGGACATTGGAACTTCAAGAAATCAACCAAGAAGTCCTAGAAGAAGGCTTCAAGACTACGAAACAAAACGGAGTTCACAATCTTAAAGAATTGTCATTCGAAAACTCTTATTTGAATACATTTAATCATAGGTTTAAGTCTTGCTTTTTTAATCATAATTTCAATGTTTTACTGTTTTATTATGTTTAAAACTTCAAAAAAAAGGTTGTGAAAATGTGCAAATTGAATTGTCTGATTTGCATGAACAACAATCCACAAGCTTGTCACCTTCAAGAGCCAGTAAAAACTGCTACCTGGCGTATAATGTACAATAATTTATTTGTTACTCTTCCAGAAGGTACCTACAAGTAATTATTCTTACGATAAAACTGATTTTTTTAAAATAAATAATTCTACTGACTTGTAAAATGTTTTTACAGTTTAGCTGTCAATTTTACAAGTCAGTAGAGCCAGTAGCTTGTAAAAATCAATTTTCGTTGTTTATGTTTTGACTTGATAAGTGACGTTTTACAAATGAGTGACAAATAAAAGTAGTAACATGTATAGTTATGTGTAAAGAAAAACAGATAGATCAGAAATCAAAGTGTAAAATACCATTTATTATATAAATAATACACTCAGTATATACTGTTAAACAATAATATAAAAATATAAATAGAAGGCTTAAACAATAATTTATAAACAATGACAAAATAGGAGAAATGTTTTGCCAATTTATTGGTTTTGCTATCACTTTGCAATAACAGAATTGCAGTTTTCAAAATAATTTAGGAAATAGTATAACCATTAGAAAACTCAGTTAAGAATTACTTAAATGAAAAAACTGATATGAATATTGTCAATTCCATATTTATACGAAAATAATACTTCTAATAATTTTGTTTGTTTTTTGCTTCCAAGTAAATGATTTTGTGCTGACCTAGACACATTTCATAGGTAATAATACAAATACCTACCTACAAACACAGTATTTATGTATAGGTTTTCTGGCAGAAACATGTTCAGAAACTTAGTTTTAAGATACCACATTTCTCTGTGAAAAAGGAGTTTCTTGGAACTAAGGATTATTCTGCCAAAACTTACATAGTTATATTGCCTATTTGAACGTTAAGTTTAGAAAATATTTCAATTGAAAAAAATAAATAAATAATAAATATCCAAATGAGACAGTATACTAAAATTTCCAAAAGTTCTCCATTCTATAAATAATAATGGAAATGGAAATAATATTTTTATCATTTTTGCTTGGACTCAAAATATCACAAATTGTTGAAAAAGATTAAGAAAGCTCAAAACCAGTATTACAATGGACAGCGTATCTTAATTTTTCTCTTAAAGTACTTTTTTTTTGATAATTTGGCAATTTTAGTAGGTTGAAACAGGTAGAGGAAGTCGGTAGGCGATTCTGTGGGTCCTTTTTTCGTATTGTGAAAAAACCTCTGAAAACGCTTCCTTAAATAAAAATTTTAATTAGTTTACAAAGTATCTGAATATTTTTTAAGAAAGCGCCTTTAATTGTTAAAAAATTAGTATATGCAGAAGCATTGGAGAAACACTACTTGAAAACTCCCAAGTTAGCTTCAAATATTCTAGGCCTCCTCTTGGTAACTTGGGAAAGTGGATTTGCGAATTCTAGCTAAACTAATTAAATCTTACCTATGGTATCCCCAGTATCCTCATCATCTCCAACTTCAACGCACCTTATAGAAAATGGCGGTTCCAAATGAGCAAATCCTAATAGAGGTGGTTTGGAGCAACTTGTAACAAACTACAATAATGTTTTTAAATATCTATTTTATAGTATCCAAAAAAAAATACGAACCTTGAGGAACATCCCGCGTTCGTCGTCATTGAAATCCTTTTCTAGTATATCCCAAAGCCATCCAATCACCCTGTGAGAATCATGGAAACCGCCGTAATATTGGCAATTTTTGCGCAGGTCTCTTAAATCCAATGGAATATTGTCACCGGAGATAAGTCTTTGCAGCTAGAAATTATTTAAATTGGAATAACAAGAAGCAACAAAAGCTAGAAAAAATACTTACTTCTGGGGTTGAAAATAAAGTGAGCCAATCTGGATTAATAATCGATCTAAATCCTTTGATAAAAGCGGCTGTTTGTTCCCTTATTTGCACGTGCATACGGAAATGAGCCATGAGGTGAATATAATTTATTCTAAAAATATTTTACTAGACAGGAACAATAATACTTATGTATCTCAACATATTGTATTTGTTTTATAAATTGTTATTTTCAATCAGTCAATCAAAAGAAGCAATTCTATTTGCATTAGGATTGAAGTGCAAAAAAGTTGTTCAACATCAAAACCCTTCTATTGTTATAGATTATGAAAAATATACATTTTATGGTCTACTTACATGTTCTCTTTTGTCACAGGTACGACTTTACCACCAGGTATAAGCTCATGGGTGACAACTTTTCCCATATGATCCTCATCAACGCTAAAAGTTAGGTTCAACTCTGATACGTCATCCTCATAGTGTTTAACATAACTTAAACTTCTATACAAGGCTGGATCCAAGGATGGTAGTTCGTCCACTGAACTGTACATTGCTTGCGATGTTTGTCCGGATACCTAGTATTTTGGGAATAATTATTGTCTTAAAATTGTGTGAATAATAGGTGTCAAGTGGATAAACGTATGTCCAGAAACTTTGTTTCATAATCCATGTTCAAATGTTACGATTTCCCATACTATTTTACACTTTTTTTCCTATCAAACTAATATAGACACAAACAAAAATTTATTAAGCAAAATCCATGCGCAAATATCATTAGATTAGGTAATACTTTACTTACTTGACTAAGGAAAAACGATGCAAAAGGTACATCAACAACAATTCCCTCATACACAGCCTTGCCAAGCATTTTTCCAGTAAACTCAAATAACTGTAAATGATTATCTTGAAGATGTGATGTAGGCGATGGATATAGCCTTTCTTCGCTAGTAGCTTTGAACAAATTTAACGCTGGATCAAAGACTTTTTTGATGCTTTCTTCTAGAAATTCTTTGAAAACTCCATCTTGATCGATTCCAGCTTCATCCAAGCCATATTCGTTAATAAAACGTACTCGGATTACACCTTTCAGTGCTTGAGGGGGTAAGATGGTCAATTGGCGGTAACCATCTTCAACTATGCGATTTCTATAATTCAAAATATAGTCAATTCTACTCTAATAAAAATTGTAGTTTTTGGATTTTGGATTAAATCAACAAAAACAATAAAGAACTGGAGTAAAACACACAGTCTATCTTCACTCTTTATTTTACAAAAATAATCAGTTGGAAGGGGGGGTTGTACATGTTTCGGATCTATCATAGATCCATCATCAGCATAAGTTCTACAAGTTACAAAATTATGGGAGTTATGGCGAGGGCCTGGGGTGTATACATCAAAAACTTACCAAATGGCACAGGGAAAATATGGTCATATACGACATGCCTAAGTATAATAATTATACATAAAAATATAAGTGTTCATGCTGTTATCAGCATAAAGTTGGTGGCTAAAGCCGCATCCAACACAGAACATATTTACAAAACTGGAATAGAGGAAGCTTGTGAGTACGATTTCAAAAATTACGTCAAAGTTTCAACTTACCAAAGGTGAAGATTGAAAAAATTATTTTATTAACATTAGAAAAATAGGACTGCCACACAAACACAGAATATGCCTATAGGAGGCGGAATTCTGGACGCTCATCTGTACTTCTGGATGTTAGTGGGTGTTAGCTTTTAGTTGTTAATCAAATTTCAAAAATTTACTTAATGAAAAATCGTGCTTTCTGCAGGAGGAGTAAGAATGTAATGGAGATGAGGAAGAAGATGGTGGCAGGAAATTAGTAAAATTTGCTGCATAAAAAACCTGACAATTCCAGAAATCAAACCAAGTAGCTCCCTCTTACGACCAAAAGCCAAACAATCATAGTTGGATACTAAGTTACACATCTAAAAACAATAAAATATGTTGTAAGCAATAATAAGTGTGATAAATTAAACTAAATTAAATTGAATAATATCATTACAAAAGGGATAATCAGAGTTTGACTATTGAATATTAAATTTTATATTTTTAGTGCCGGTACTTTTGCTCTCATTTGACAGCCGTTAAAAATAATCAGGGCTTAGAATGTGCTCTAACCACATCATACTTATAGACTTTGGCCCATGCAAAACTTTGACAACGTATCAAATTCGTTAATCGAGAGCAAAAGTACCGGCCCTTAAAGGTTCTTAAAAGGAATTATACTCCGGTGGGTAGCGTCACCTAACACGAACAGACAAAGGTGCAAGCGGTGGTTGAATTTGTCTACTAGGGAACCCTACAAAAACTAGCGTGGTACCGCTGTGACAGGTATATAGATGGCGGCGCCCAGGACTGAAACCAAGGAGAAGAAATCTTGAAAGAAGTAAAAGAGTGAGGTTAAACATTGTTGTTATTGACCAAATATGAATTTAGGTTGAAGTAAAGGAGAAACCGAGAGAATTGAAAAACTTCAGGCAGGAAAAATGGATTTGATCATTCACACAGGTTTTTTGAGAATTGCGCAAGGCTTTGTTGATTTCCAGGATTTCGAGTAAGTTCATAATGCGTCCCTTTTCACAGTTGTGTAAAACTACAACATCTTTTCCAGGGTCGAAAGAGTGTTTTTCTTTAAAAATGTGGTCCGAAAAGCTAGATTTACTCTGGATAAGGTCTATAGGAACTGAAGAATGTTTTCCAATTTCTCTAACATGTTCGTTGACTCTTAGGGATATCCTTCTGCCGCACTGGCCAACATAACAGACAGTACAACCAGGCTGTGAGCAGTTTAAACAATATACTCCCGATTTATCCAATAAGGGAATTCTGTCTTTTGAATTAACTATAGAAGAGCCAAGGGAGTTCTGGGTTTTGAAACAGATATTAATGTTGTATTTGTGGAATAGACTTTTGATACTATGTGAAATTGGGCCCAAGAAGGGTATGGAGAAGAACTTATTTGTATTGTGGTCTGGTGGTGAAAAAAGATTTTTATTGAGTACTGATTTATTGAAATGTTTGTAGAATAGTTTATTAATAAAATTTGAAGGGTAGCCATTGGCTGTTGCTATTTGTTTAATAATGTTATGCAGCAAATTTTACTAATTTCCTGCCACCATCTTCTTCCTCATCTCCATTACATTCTTACTCCTCGTGCAGACAGTACGATTTTTCATTAAGTAAATTTTTGAAATTTGATTAACAACTAAAAGCTAACACCCACTAACATCCAGAAGTACAGATGAGCGTCCAGAATTCCGCCTCCTATAGGCATATTCTGTGTTTGTGTGGCAGTCCTATTTTTCTAATGTTAATAAAATAATTTTTTCAATCTTCACCTTTGGTAAGTTGAAACTTTGACGTAATTTTTGAAATCGTACTCACAAGCTTCCTCTATTCCAGTTTTGTAAATATGTTCTGTGTTGGATGCGGCTTTAGCCACCAACTTTATGCTGATAACAGCATGAACACTTATATTTTTATGTATAATTATTATACTTAGGCATGTCGTATATGACCATATTTTCCCTGTGCCATTTGGTAAGTTTTTGATGTATACACCCCAGGCCCTCGCCATAACTCCCATAATTTTGTAACTTGTAGAACTTATGCTGATGATGGATCTATGATAGATCCGAAACATGTACAACCCCCCCTTCCAACTGATTATTTTTGTAAAATAAAGAGTGAAGATAGACTGTGTGTTTTACTCCAGTTCTTTAACTATTCTCTTCACTGTGAGACATGGACTACTATTTCAAAAAAAAAAACAATAAATTTCAAAGACGGGATGGGAGATTCAGTGAAGAATAAAAAAGGGATAAGAGTAAGTATGGGATGTCTTTTAAAGAAAATTAGCTTCTCTAATTGAAATAGATCCTTAACGGTTTTTTATTTACGTTGACTACCCATCAGTAACTACTTAGAATGCGGATGCTCCAGAGAATTGAAATTTTAATTTTCACTCTATTTTGAAACTTCTTTAGAAGATTAAGATAAAATACATTGGATTAGGTAAAATCTGAATCATATCCAATTAATTTACCCTTTAAACCATAAATTTATGTATCAGCCATGCCCCTATTAAAACCAATTATCTCGTAAGGTAATCATAACTGAGGGACTAGAATAAATTGATCAATGAAATTTTACCTGTGTACAGTAATCAAAGTGGATTGAGGTGAAACACAAACAGACTCAGTCAACCCAAGTACAGTTTTTTCATTGATGATATATTTTCTGAACAATCTGACTCTGTCTTCATGCGGTATGATATGTGGCATCGTCTGCAGAAGCAACTGAGGAGCCCTTCTACCCTTTTCTAAATCCACTAGAAAGGAAGAGACTTTCATGTCTTTTATCAGCCAATGACCGGGCGGAGTGTAGCTGTGCCAGCAATCTCTTTTGTAGAGAACCATTAAAAGAGTGTGTAACGAAACAAATAGGGAATTGGTTGGGATTGATTTAATATCTGGAATATCGTAAATAATTGAGTTTATAATTCGTTTGTGAAACTAGAAATTTGACTTTTTTCAATATTAGCCCTGATCTTATGCAAACGCTTAGGAAAGTTTGGAAGTCGCTTAAAACGTACCTACAAACGGGTGATGCAGCTTAAACTTGTCAAAAATTAAATTCCTAGTTCTAACAACAACAAAAATCATAAATAAATCAGTTAACTCACCAAATAAGTTTCCTAAAACACCTTTGTATAAAAATACATTTAAAAAATTTGACATCGCTACAAAATCAGCTAACCTAAATGGTTTTTGTTTTTCGTACATTTCCATGTCATCCAATAAACTAAAAAAAAAAATACTAATTTAATTTTTAAAAAATAAAAATAATCACTGATTTCTCTTACGTTACATAATGAGTCATACAGTCAGCAAAAAGTTGTAGCATTTGAAATTCGGGCGCCGAACACTTTGTGTTGAATGCTAAATGATCCAGAAAAGTTTTCATTCCACAATTTGGTCCGAGTGAACAAAGGAATAACCATAAGTCATATAAAATAGTGTTCTGGTAGCACAACCCTAAAAAAAATCAAATACTTAAAGGAATATTTGTTGAAATAAAATAATATTTTCTAGGGCCCACAACAAATCAAATAAAAGTACCCCATCCAAACTAGTCAGGGTGAAGGCCCAAACAAGAAAATCAGGTGGAAAATAATCTGAACTATCCCAATATTCCCAACATCAGCTACTAGAAAGTCAGGTCTCCAACTAAGGACTGGTTTGCTTGAGAAAGTTATATGTATGTTCAATAACAGCTTTTTTAATTGATTTTGTTTAGAAGAACTAATTAAGTTCCTATTATTTTGAAGGGACTTTATTTTATTACACTGATTCGCTACAAAATTTTCCTTTAGGAGCTTAGCGAAAGAGTATTTTTTATGGCGCAGTTTTGATAAGCGATATTTTTTTACAAAGACATTTTCAATACTCAGGATTTGAAACTGTTAAATGTAATTACCTGTTAAAATATCCAATTGAAGTTGAGTTAAAGTATGTAAAGCAGTATGATACAAGGAACAGATCAGCACAACCCTATGAACTTCTGGACTTCCAAGGGCCCTAAACGTTTTATAAGTCATGGTTTTATTTCCACGATGATCCAAAATCTTTTTTAAAAAATTACTACCAGACGATTGTGTGGGACTAACTTGCTGTGGCGGATCAACACCTTGGACCAGTTCAGATAAGAAATTTCCTATAAAAAAATTAATAGGTAATAATTAAACCATAAATTCAGCAATGTGTTTTTTACCTAAAAGTATTTTCATGATTTCAATATTCCATAAAAGATGCAGTTGCAGTTTAATGTGGGGTATGGCAGCGTGGAGGCAAGGATCCGTTGGTTGGGCAAACCAACCCAATACTGGATGCCAGTGGGTTAGAGCCGATTGTTTACTGACAACATAGTGTTGGCAACTTTCAAGTAGACCCGTCACAACAACCTAAGTTTAATACTATATAATGAAATAAATGAGTTTACAGCCATACTTTTTTTTTTCTTTGATTTTTGCATAACCTTTCAAGTAAATCAACGATGACAATGAATTGATATCACATACAGAGGTTCAAAATATACTTATGCCACATACTCAATCACTCTTGTAAATAAATAAGCTGTTACTCAAGCATAAATTATGTGATTTTTGTTCTCACTCACCGTAAAAGTAGGAAAGCTCAAATCTCTCAATGTAGTATTTCTTTCAATATATCCCAAATGAATTAAGTTTGATAATAAACATAAAGCGTAATTGCCTTCAAGCGCATTGAAGACTATCCTCATTGACTGTTGACTGGAAAGTAACTCCAAGCTTTTAGTAAAAATTTTATTCTGGTACAAGGTAGATATTGTCTAAAATTAAATCGTCTTGAGTTTTTTATTGTTATTTATTTTTGGTTCAAGCATACCTCCGGGGATAAATTTTGAAGGTGATGCACAAGTCCTGGCACAGAAAGTATGTTTATCAAAAATATACTCATGAATTTGTCAGAGAAATTTGCTGATAGTAATGGTCTTAAGGAAAGCGTCAAAATTGCTGAGATTGAAACTGATTTGATTGCAATTTTTATCCTCCCTAGGCCTCTAATTAGGAGATTCTAGAAACAAACAAAACAATTTCAGCAGATAAATCGAAATTACTCTATTTTGTGAAATATACCAGGGCACTCAATTATTGTGCAATGTGTCGCAGGTATATTTCTGCATCCTCAGGCTTGTTCATGGATGTTTTTATCCAACAGGTTTTTATATCCTGAAAACTTAAATCTAACTATTACCTTTAAAACAAGATAAAACCCTTTGTGAAACAATTGTCCCATTAAATTGGCACAAAGTTGATTCATTCCACTCCTCAAGACCTCCATGTTTTTGTTTTTCAATACCATCCATGTATTGGTGCTGGTAAATGACACAAGCATGTGTAAATATAATACAATTAATTTCATATTAGTGGCCAGTTCAGTTTTTAATTCATCCAAATATTCGCAGCACTTCCATAACAAGTTGTTCATATGAGAGATCCATTTTATCACATGTTCTTTATTTAGTGCTAAAATGAATGTTCTTTTTATTTGTTTGGTTGTCTGGCAGTTTAAAACTTGACCTCAAGTTGACTATTACTTACCTACGCCTACATAACTAAATTTAGGCGAGTCACAATCAAGTGATGCCACCAAATAGCGGCATAGTTTGGCGAAGCGTTCCGAATCCCTTTCTTTGTTCCATATTAATAGCAGTTTTAGGCTCTGTTGGTAAATTTCTAAAACTGGTTTGAAATCTTGTTTTGTGTGGTTCTCTGGAAGTTCTGGAATGGCATTGTCAAACTCCTCCCTAAAATACATGTAGGTAGTTAGTTTCAATATCATTTAGTGAATAAAGGTAATACTTTTAAATGTTAAAAAAGCATATCTACACATTTGAAAAAGCTTTATTTTGGTGAGATATATAAACTTTATATCCCTATTATTGTATATCATATCTTACTATTATCATAGGCTCTGTAACTGGTATTGAAGCCTACCCTATTGTATAACTTTGGAGAATATACAGAATTCCCACAAACACAATAATCAAACATATCTAAATTTCCAATGTAAATCGAATTGGTGTTTAAAAGTATAAGATTTTTTTGTCTATAACATTTTTCATTTGCTGAGAAATGCATTTGTAAATATCAGCAGCGGGGGGGGGGGGGGGGGGCATCGCCCCCCCCCCCAAGCCTGTATTTTTATGTATGGAAAAATGTAGCAACATCAGGGCGTGGCACCCTGACACCTATATGTAGGGGCGCCCCAAACATATTCTCTAGGTGCGCCACTGGTAAATACAAATAAGGATGTTTCAATATTACAGGGACAAACTTGAACAAGTGATCCCTTAACTCCCAATGTTTTTTTGAGCATTTTTTACTTGAAAAAATTGCCTGATTCAAGTACTTGTTAAAATTTGCTGCTGTAGTAGAGGTACTTGTAGCATCTAACCAAATAATATTGTTATTAGGGATAATTGAGAATAAAGATATGGCAACGTGGTAGCGTATCAACGGGACGTCAAGAGGTTGATAGTCGACTCCACTTGATACACAACCACGGAGCGGTGACGAATTATTAATGAGTGTATTTCTTTGTATCCCGAGTGTGATAAATAATAAATATAAAAAGTGATAACAAGGGAATAACAAAACATTACATTGGCGACGAGGACACAAGGAATAAAAGGCTCAAGGTAAAAAGTAAGTACCTAAACAAATACATTTAAGAAATGATGATATAATATCTAACCATTTTCAATGAAAATCGGTTATATAATATGAGACTGCATTTTTATTCACCCAAGGGACAATGGTCCAAAATAGAAATAATAGTAATATTGAGGTCCAGGGGATCAATCAAAGGGACATAAAGGTCCAGAATAAAAACAAACCAAGGGACAACAGGTCCAAAGAATAAAAACAAACCAAGGGACAACAGGTCCAAAATATTACAGACATAAGGGAAAATATACACAAATAGTATAAGTCAAAAAAAAAAACATCCCTAATGTCCCTAATGCGTAGATACAATTATTAGAATTGAGATAAAGGGATCGGAGGTCCAAATCCAGATAATATTATCTAACAAGGGACATGAGGTCCACACTCTATAATAAAAACTTGTGAGTTCAAAAATTAATAATTATTTATTTTAGATGACGCCATAATTCTATACCTATACCTATCCTAAAATAAACATTCAAAAAAAAAAAAAAAAAAAGTTTACGGTTACCTACCCTATAAAAGATACAAAGCAATTTTTAAAATAGAAAAATTCTGACTGAATCCTTTCTAGTTATTATTTATTTGGCTGAATTATTTTAAACTTATATTTAGATAGTAATAAATTTTTGAAACAGGAGCCGGAGGAAAAGTTTGAGAAGTTCCTTGTACGATTGAGACACCAGGCTGAAAAATGTCAGTTCCATAATTTGGAAGAGAACATTATCGACCAAATTGTGGAAAAGGGGTACAATATCGAGTTAAGAAAGAAAATATTGGCAGCAGGGGACGAGATTAACTTAAATACCATTATTAGCGAGGCAAATTCTCTGGAGGTGGTTAAAAGACAACTGGGAGAGTTTTCCGGACAGCAAGGGCACATACAAGAAGTCAATCAGTTAAGATCACAATTATCAATAAAAAACCGACAGTCTTGTACACGTTGTGGCAGTCAGGAACATTCCTCTTCATATCCCAAATGTCCTGCTATGGACCGGGAATGTAGGAAATGCAGATTTAAAGAACACTTCGCATTCCAATGTAGAACATCAGCCGGGAAACGCAAGAAACCATCAGGCCAAGAGACGATAAACAACCAAAAGCACGGACATTCAAACTCTAAGAGAGCAAAATCATCAAATACCCACTCTATCGAAGAAAGTTGCGAAACGGAAACCGATTACGTCTTTCACATCGACCAGGATCAGGACGAATCAGTAACCTGCAATGTGGGAGGAGTCAAGGTGGACATGCTTATTGACTCAGGTAAAGATAATAATTATTTATTTTAAATTGAAAACTTTACTGTTCTTAATCCGAATTTAGTCTTGGCATTTTTGTAATCCTCTTAACGATACTACATATCACAATGAGCTCAAATATTAACTTAAATTTATTAACTAGTCAGTAAGGAAAAAAAGAAACATAAAAAAAAAAAACATTTTAGGTAGTAAAAGTAACCTGTTGACTTTGGAAACCTGGGAATATTTAAAAACACAAAAAGTTGAAGTTTTTAATCAAGTTCGAAATCCAGATAAGATATTTATGGCTTACGCAAGCAGGGAACCTTTAACTGTAGTGGGTTCATTTGAGGCAAATACAGCTATAGGAAATAGATTCAATACTGCTAAGTTCTATGTTATAAAAAGCGGAAATAGGAATTTGCTAGGGAAAAAAACCGCAATTGAACTAGGGGTTTTAAAGATAGGGTTTTGTTCAGTGAATGCTACTTTAGATTCGTTTCCAAAATTCAAAAATATAATGATAGATATTCCTATTGATGAAACAGTGAAACCAGTTTGTCAACCATCTAGGAGAATTGCTATTCCTTTGGAGGAGAAAGTTAAAGCAAAATTAGAAGAACTAATAGCAATGGATATAATCGAAGAAGTTACTGGACCTTCAAAATGGGTGTCACCAATAGTACCTGTACTAAAGGATAATGGAGAGATTAGAATATGTCTGGATATGAGAAGGGCAAATGCAGCTATACTGCGTGAAAATCATCCCCTTCCCACGATGGACCAATTTTTACCACGGATCAGAAATGCCAACATTTTTTCAAGATTAGATATTGAGAATGCTTTTCACCAAGTGGAAATATCACCCTCTTCTCGCCACATTACAACGTTTATAAGCAGTCGAGGATTACTAAGGTACAAACGATTAATGTTCGGTATATCATGCGCACCCGAAATTTTTCAGAAATTGTTGGAACGTATTCTTAGTGAATGTGACGGAGTTATTCATTTTATAGATGATATTTTGGTGTTTGGGGCGACCATAGAGGAACATGACTTTAGGCTGGGAAAAGTATTGAGTACACTGAAAGAATACAACGTTTTGTTGAACGAAAAGAAGTGTCTTTTTAAACTGACACATGTTGAATTCCTAGGGCATCAGCTATCATCACAAGGCATTAAACCACTAGACAACTATATAGGAGTTATAAAAACGTTTCGAGCTCCTCAAACTACTGAAGAAATACAAAGCTTTTTAGGACTAGTGAACTATGTGGGGAAATGGATTCCAAATTTAGCTACCCTCACGGAACCTATTAGGAAATTATTAAGGATGAAATTGGGAAAGCAAGCAAACATAAAGACATTGTGGCTAGTTGAACAACAACAAGCGTTCGAAAAACTAAAACAAGCTTTATCGGAGATAAAATCCTTAGGGTATTATAACCCTCATGAAAAAACCCAAGTCATTGCTGATGCAAGTCCGGTTGGACTTGGCAGTGTTCTGGTCCAACGGAATAAAAATGGCCCAAGGATTATAGCATTTGGCAATAAGAGCCTATCTGACTGTGAAAAGAGATATTGCCAAACGGAAAAAGAAGCCCTGGCCCTAGTTTGGGCAATAGAACACTTTCACATGTATCTTTATGGTAAGGAAAGTTTTGAGTTGGTGACAGATCATAAGCCTCTCGAAATTATATTTGGTACAAAATCAAAACCTTGTGCCCGAATAGAGAGGTGGGTCTTACGACTACAGTGCTATAACTATAAAGTAGTATACTGCCCAGGGAAATTTAACATTGCGGATCCACTATCGAGATTACCAAATACCGGAAACGCAGGAAATACTTTCGACAGAAATTCCGTTTGTCAAATTATCAGTTATTCCAGACCTAATGCCATATCTTTATCAGTGATAAAAGAAAGTTCCGAACAAGATGTGGAAATTTCCAAGGTGAAAGAGGGTATATTTAATGAGAGTTGGGATCCAGTGGTTAACCATTTTAAAATATTCAGCACTGAACTTTGTTTCCACGAAGGCATTCTATTAAGAGGCGACAAAATTGTTATACCAGGCAATCTTCGACGTCGGGTTTTAGAAGCAGCACATGAGGGCCACCCAGGGATAGTGGCCATGAAAAACCGACTACGCACGAAGGTATGGTGGCCAAAAATAGACTCAGATGCAGAGAAACTGGTGAAAGCGTGTAAAGGCTGTACACTAGTTTTAACTCCAAGTGCTCCAAACCCCATGAAACGAAGGGAACTACCAACACAAGCATGGGTAGCGATAGCTATAGATTTTTTAGGTCCACTGCCCAGTAACGAGTACATATTTGTTGTTGTAGATTATTACAGCCGCTATAAGGAAATTAAAATTTTAAAAGATACCTCCTCTAAAAATACTATAAATTCCCTCCCAGAAATATTTTCAAGGCTAGGATATCCTGCCTTAATAAATGCTGACAATGGTGGACAATTTACTAGTCAAGATTTTCAAACTTTCTGCAAAGAGGCTGGTATTGAATTACACCACACTATTCCTTATTGGCCACAGCAGAATGGGGAAGTGGAACGTCAAAACAGGGACCTGCTAAAAAGAATAAGGATAAGCCATGCGCTTAAAACAAATTGGAAAGAAGAATTACTCCACTACTTGATGATGTATAATAGTACTCCTCACTCGTCTACGGGGAAAACTCCATCAGAGTTATTTTTCGGAAGGCTTTTTAGAGACAAAATACCAAGTGTTAAAGACATTGGAAACAAGAATATTGATGGTGAAATAAGAGACAGAGACAGAGTAATCAAAGAAAAAGGAAGAGAATATGCCGACA